CCGGACCAGGACTCCACTTACCGCTACCTCCGAGACCGCCAAGTATAGGTATAGTTGTTCGTCTATCTTCGGCGTGTGGAACAACGGTGGGCTCAATAGATAATGCTTGAGCTCTTTCAAGGCCCGTTGGCATTCCGGAGTCCATGAGAAGTTACTCTTTTTCTTCAATAATGAGAAGAATCGGTGACTCTTATCGGAGGACCTCGAGATGAATAGCCCCAGAGCGACTATGTGCCCGGTTAGCCTCTGCACTGCCTTTATGTTATCTACGACCGTGATATCTTTGATGGCTTTGATCTTATCGGGGTTAATCTCGATTCCCTAGTTGGATACCATGAATCCGAGGAATTTACCTGATCCAACTCCAAACGCACACTTCTCCGGGTTCAATTTCATGTTGTGTTTTTTCAATACGTAGAAGGTTTCCTGCAAGTGTTTTAAATGGTCCTCTGCTCGCAGGGACTTAACCAACATATCGTCAATGTAAACTTCCTTTGATTTTCCTATTTGTTCTTCGAACATCCGGTTTATTAGGTGTTGGTAAGTGGCACCGACATTTTTAACCCGAATGGCATTACGTTATAGCAGTATGTGCCGTATTTAGTGATAAAAGAGGTTTTTTCTTGATCATCCAGGTTCATCCGTATTTGGTTGTACCCGGAGTAGGCATCAAGAAAACTGAGGATCTCGTGGCCGGCTGTGGCATCGATCATGCGATCGATGTTGGGCAATGGGAAGGAGTCCTTCGGACATGCTCTATTCAAATCCTTATAGTCTATACACATTCTTAATTTATCCCATTTCTTGGGAACTACCACTATGTTTGCTAACCAATTCGGGTATTTAACTTTCCAAACAGACCCTATTTTAAGGAGTTTGGATACCTCGTCCTTGATGAAAGCATGTTTGACCTCGGACTGGGGCCTCCTCTTCTGCTTGACCGGGTGGAACTTCAGATCCAAGCTTAGCTTGTGAGTGGTTATTTTCGGTGGCATCGCTCGATGCCGAAATTATACTCTGAGAGCCTCGGTGCTTCTTTAGGCCCGATGGGTCTGTCGAAGTTGTTTTTGCTCATGAGTCCTCGATTGTTCTGTAGATCATTCCTTCTTTCATTTCTCATAGGGTTTCTCCCGGACCCACTGCTTCTCCATTCCCTTTTGTATGGTTGATATCGATCCCGGTTTGATCTAGGTTCGTGATCGGTGTATCTCTTGACTTGGTCGGTGATCCTGACGGGGTGTACGAATCCGGAAAGGGTCCCGAGTTGGTCATCCTCGACCCTGAGTTTTGATTGATACCGGTTATGGATGTCGGTCCAAGTGATGGTTGGATATTATACCAAGTTCTGTTTCAACTGTTGTGAAGCCAATGAGCTTCGAATGTTGAGTCCTTGGGTGAAAGCCCGAACGGCCCAATCATCCGTGACCTGGGGCAAATCCATCCTTTCCATCTGGAATCGAGAAACTGACTCTTTGAGCACCTCGTTATTCCTCTACTTTACTTTGAAAAGGTCTGACTTTCTAGTCTCGACCTTTATAGAACCGATGTGTGCTTTTACGAAGGAATCTTCCTGCATAGCAAACGAGTCAACAGAATTAGGAGAAAGGTTGTGGTACCATATCATATCTCCCTTTTACAGGGTCTCTCCGAATTTTTTCAACAACACGGATTCGATCTCATCATCTTCCAAGTCGTTCCCTTTGATGGCACAGGTATAAGAAGTTACATGCTCATTTGGATTAGTCGTTCCATTGTACTTAGGGATTTCAGGCATGCGAAAATTTTTGAAGATCGGCTTTGGAGCCGCGCTTGGGGGAAAATGCTTTTGAATAAATTTCTTGGAATCCAAGCCCTTCAATATCGGGGGTGCTCCTGGGATTTGGTCGACCCTGGAGTTGTAGGTTTCCACCTTCTTATCATTGGCTTTGATTTTCTTTTCCCTTGTTTCTATCCGTTTCGTCAATTCTTCGAGCAATTTCATGATTACGGGGTTAGTCCCTGATTCACTCTTGCTCGTTCTTTCCGAGGTTAGTTCGTTCCTGCAGATGGCTTCCCGAGGTAGTTCGGGTTCATTCATGCTCAGCGTTCGACCTTGGTTCTGCAATTGAGCTATCGCCGAATATTGAGCCTGTAGCATTTCGAAGATCAGACGAAGGTTGATCCCATCATTTTTGCCATCGTGAGTGTTTTGGGCAATTAAACGTACTTCCCTGCGCACGCTATTTTCGGCGTCAGTGGGCTAGTTTGTGTCGATGGCCATATGCGAACAGGCGTCAATGGGAACCACCACCGGGATTCTACCAAGATCGACCAGTGTTGCATCGTTACCGAGCGCTGCATTGGTGTTCCTGCCGTGGTGGCCAGATTCTGTGTCTATGTTTAGAGGGACATACTGCGGGTTTGACATTTTCGATCCTGACCTGAAATCATAAATACTTCAAAGAACAAGTGTAAAATGGGGTGTGTTATGGTGATATGTATCAAATTGCCGCTATTATCCTTAGCCCCACGGTGGGTGCCAAACTGTTTACCTTCAAAATTGGATAAAAATTGAATTTATTAGTGGTATAAAGGATATGCAGATTAACTTGATACTGAACGATAAATTAGATTGTAATTGACATAGATAACGATAAATTAACTATAAACCACACGAATTGGATAATTTTAGCCTAGGAAAGCTGACCACCCTTGAGTTGAATGTACTTCGATTGAACCCAAAATACCAAAGAATAAGAACTGAAAGGATAACGATAATGTATTGCTTATGAGTGTATGTTACAATGTGTTTCAACCTACGTTTAAGGTATTATTCTATTATTCCATAAAAAGTAAAAAGGTCCTTGATTTGTTGACCGTTGGTCCCTTTTTTAGTATGTCCCGTGATTTTCGCCGTAATGCCTGGTTAGTTGCGGGAATTTCGGACCCATGTAAGATAAGCTGGAGATATATTCCTTGAGACCGTTATGACCGGGACCGGTTATGACCCTGATAAACTCGAAGGCAAGTTTGGTGGTTCCGATGGCTAATTTGGTAAGGCAAGAACCGATCTCCGGGATTTTATCACCATCTCTCGATCCCAAATTGTCATCCTGGATGCTCGGTCAAATCTCGAGTTCGATTTTACCCGTATACAAAGACATAGGATGAGACTGAATTTCCTAATATTGAAATAAGAGACATAACCAGTATTTTAAAAGGCGTTTCTGGGCGAGCCTCGAGGCGAGGGGGTACCAAAAACGCCCCGGGGTGATGGTGTGAGTCGAAAGTATCAAGAGGTGTACGCCCAGCAATTCGGGACGTACGCCCGGGCGTTTGAGGCGTGTTTTTTAGTGAGGAGTAAGCCCTAGAGACTTTTTCAAATTAAAACAAAATTTGTTGAATAAGTCCTTCATATAATATCCAAATTCTCAAAAGTTAGTTTGGTAATTACTCAAAAGGTTTAAAAAGGAACTCAAAAGTATTAAATTTAAAAGTCAATACATTTTTTATTTATTGAAGCCCTAATTCATGGTCTTTCCCAATTCTTTATCTTATCCTCTAGTCTGCTAATATCTCCCAAAAGTAACGAATATTTAATTATTTTTACAAATACAAAGAAAACTCCATTCTCCTTCATAGCAGCAAGTTCAAAGTTCAAATTGCANTGTCACGGGCCCAAATCCTTACATTGGGTAGAAATGGGTCCGCGACATTACGCCTCGCTGAGGCTTATGTGAAACGCTTGGACTTACTCCCACGCCTTTTAAAACACTGGACATAACTATTGATACAACTCTCAGTAAAGAAGAATCAGAAGAGCTGGAGTTCAATCCATTTTTCAAATGTCATGAAGTGGATGTCACTCGGGCAGCATCGTGCAATCAGAGCACGTCTATGGTAGTACCTTGCCTGGCCAGCAATGTTTACTTCTGACTGCTGATCTTTTAGCTTTTCTATTACTGCATTAGGAAATACTAGTTAAAGTAGCAACAATATCATATTCTGTAGGTTCCTACTTTTCAATATAATCTTTTTTGTTTTTAGGCAAATATAAGCTTATTTTCTTCCTTGCTATGTAGGGATTCTTGAAAAGTCGGTTCAATGATCAAAGCTAATCAAGTTCATACATGTAAAGAAAATGTACTGAAGATTAGTGTTATGTATTCTGAAATTGCTTATATATAATCATAAGTTTAAACTCCAATACTCCAGTTGGGAATGCCCTTAGTGATAGACAAGAAAAAGAATAAATAAGAGTTTTTGATACCTATTAAGTATTTTGTTGAATTTAGGGATAGACAAGAAAAAGGATCACTTTCAATTTACTAGATATTTTCTTTTATTCTTGTTATAGTAAGAGATTAGTCAACAGTTAAACTATTGAATTTCCAACATATTTGGCTAAAGATTTTCGTTAATCTTGTCTTGTGAAATAGTGTAAAGTCAAGTAGGGCAGATACATTGAATGTTCTAGGGCCATAAAGTTGATTGCCTATTTGTTTCATCATTCTAGACTATGGAATTGACCTAGTCAATAGTCTAAAATCTGTTCCTTATAAAAAAGAAAAAGGTTACATTTAGATGAATAATTTTACCAGATTCAGGTTAAAAATGCATTAAAACTCTAACTCCTTTCTTGAATCACCACAATTGTTGTGGTTTTAGAGTACAAATATCTTAGTCGCGGCAAGGAGTTCAATTGAAATCTCCTTCATCAAAAATATTTATTAGGGTAAAAAAATAATTTCTTGGTTATGTATAAACTTTTTTATATTAATAAATAGCGTAATGACAAATAAGTTCAAAAATGATTTTAGGCCGCAGGTTTAATCTAACTGTGACACTTAAGTATTTTTTAAAATTTTCTTATATAAATTCTTGACATGAAATGAAGAATATTTTTACCTCGTGATATTATTAATTGGTCATACCCTTGAGGGGCCGGCAAAGGGAAAATACACACAATAGTACTTCACTAATTAGCACTAGTCAATACTAATAGAAAGGACACAAAACATTAACTTACCAGGAAAAGTAAAAGTTGACTCTGAAGTCTTTGTAGTTGATCCAAAACTCACGCACAAATTAAGAAAAATAAATAGCCCCATTAATTTTCTTCTGAGTAGAGTAATGTTCTTGATTTGTGTAACAAATCATAAGTTTTCTTGCAATGGTTTCTTTCCTTTTTTATGTTCTATTGTTTCTGTTTCTCTTTCCACTACACAATTTAGCTCAAAATAATGGTAGGGTAGCTACTAGCACTTCTCTTACTGCAACAGATGAAACCACCCCATGGTTTTCACCATCTGGTGATTTTGCATTTGGGTTCCAAAAACTTCAAGATAAAGATCAATTCTTGCTTTGCATATGGTATGCAAACATACGGGAAAACACCATAGTGTGGCATGCAAATATCAGTAATCCAGTGCCACGTGGATCAAGATTACAGCTTGATTCTCAAAATGGTCTCATACTTAGTGATGCACAAGGAAATACAATTTGGAGAACTGATTCGCTTTTTGGTAATATTGACCATGGATTTATGAATGACACTGGAAATTTTGTTATTATGGGAAATGATTCTACTGATCCATTGTGGGAAAGTTTTAGAAACCCAACTGACACTTTGTTGCCAAGTCAAACATTGGAAAGAGGAAGCTTCCTTGTTTCTCAAAGATCAGAAGCTAATTTCTCTCAAGGTATTGTTGAATTCCATCTTTGAAATATTTTCTTGAGCCGAAATTCTATCAAAAATAGCGTATTTACCCCCACAAGGTAAGAGTAAACGCTGTGTACTACACTTCCCAGACCCCACTCGTGGAAATACAAGTATGTTGTTGTAGTATTGTTGAATTGTGTAATATGGCCAAATTTTCATGACATTTGCCATGACATAATATCCATTATAACAAATTTGTGGTTCATGACATTTGCACATAATATCCATTATAACAAATTTATGGATCATGACATTTGTCATGACATAATATCCATTATTAGGCCAAAGATTTCTTGCTATAAATAGAGGAGTTTCTCCTCATTTGCAAACACACCAATTCAAGAGCTTTTCACTCTTGTCTTTCTTTCTCCTCCTTTATTTCATTATAGAGTATTTTGTATGAGAGTGAGTGTTGGGAAACACTTGTGTGAACCCTTTCTTTGGAGTGATCTTGTGAGGTTATTCTCTTGGGGTATTTGGGATTAATTAAAGTATTTACTCTAATTTTGTACTCTTGTTGGTATAGTGAAATTGCTCATCTCCGCTTGTGGACGTAGGTCACCTTGACCGAACCACGTTAAATTTGTGTCTTCTTTATATTCTTTAATTGCCGTTATTATCAACTTCCATTGTCTTTGTTATTGTCATTATATCGTTGTTTGGCTAAATTCCGCACTACCCGGATTTCCGATCCTAACAAATTGGTATCAAAGCCAGATCTAACCGGGTTAGTTTAAATAGCCAAAATGACTCTAACAAAGTCTTATGTTGAGAAATTTGACCGAAGTGCAAATTTTGGAACGTGGCAATTAAAGATGGAAGCTATCCTAATTCAGGATGGCTTAGATTGGGCACTGCAAGGAAAGGAGAAGATGCCGGATAAAATGACGGACGAGGAGTTTGCCGTCTTAGACAAAAAGGCAAAAGCAGGTATTATTTTAAATCTTTCAAATGAGGTTTTGCGTGAAGTTGCAGCAGAAAGCTCAGCCAAAGGCATATGGGAAAAGCTTAAAACCCTATATATGAAAAGAACAGTAGAAAACAGGCTTTACCTAAAGCAAAAACTCTACACTTTTCGTATGGCTGAAGGTACCTCTATACTTACTCATCTTGATACTTTTGATTCTCTTCTTATGGATTTAAGTAACATAGATGCTGAAATCAAAGATGAGGATCAAGCTGTGTTATTGCTTGTTTCCTTACCCCAGTCGTTTAAACATATAAGAGATACTATGCTTTATGGAAAGGATAATATCTCTTATAAAGATATCAAATCTATTTTGAAATCAAAAGAACAAATAGATAGAGATATTACTGGGAAAACTAGTGGGAACCAAGGGGAAGGCTTGTTCATAAGAGGTAGATCCAATAAGAAAGATTTAAATAGTGAGAAACCTAAATCAAGGTCAAAATCCAGATGCAGAAATATCATGTACAAATATTGTCATAAGAAAGGTCACATTATTTATGAATGCTTTAAATTGAAAAACAAAGAAAAGCATACAGAAAAGAAAAATGAGCACAAAAATACTGACACTGCCGAAGCAAGTGTAGCTGCTGATGAGACTGAGGGAACTATTTTTTTAGCAACTAATAATAGTTTCAAATCTAACAATGAGTGGATTTTAGATTCGGGTTGTTCTTATCATATGTGTCCCAGTCAGGATTTATTTACCACATATAAATCTATTGGAGGTGGAGTTGTCTTGATTGGCAACAATGCTGCCTGCAAAGTTATTGGAAAAGGTACAGTCCGACTCAAAATGCACGATGGTGTGGTGAGAACTCTCACCAATGTTAGACATGTTCCTGACTTGAAGAAAAATCTCATTTCTTTGGGCACTCAAGAATCTCTTGGGTGCAAGTACACAGGTGAAGGTGGAGTTCTGAAAATTTTTCATGGTGCTCTTGTGATCATGAAAGCACGCAGATCTGGTACATTGTATACTCTTTTTGGATCTACTGTTACAGGTGCTGCTACAGTTTCAATATCAGATAAATCAGATTCTGACATCACCAAATTGTGACATATGAGTGAAAAAAGGTCTTTCCATCCTCAACAAAAGAGGTCTCTTATGTGGCCAAAGTACCGAAAATATGGAGTTCTGTGAACATTGTGTGTTCGGGAAACAAAAAAGAGTTAGCTTCAAATCTCCAACGATTCATAGAACAAAAGGTACTTTGAATTACATTCATTCAGATCTTTGGGGTCCTTCACGTACCCCATCAAAAGGTGGTGCCAGGTATATGTTAACTTTCATTGATGATTATTCAAGGAAAGTTTGGGTTTATTTCCTGAAAAATAAAAGTGATGTTTTCTTAAATTTCAAACAATGGAAAGTTTTGATTGAGAAGCAAACAGGAAAACAGGTTAAGCGGCTTAGAACAGATAATGGCTTGGAATTTTGTAATGATGAATTCAACGAATTTTGTAAGAATAAAGGAATTGCTCGACATCGTACTGTGAGAATGACACCACAACAAAATGGTGTGGCAGAAAGGATGAATAGAACTCTTTTGGAAGGGCTCGTTGCATGATTTCAAATGCTGGGTTGACAAATGCCTTTTGGGCAGAAGCTATCTCTACAGCTTGTTATATTGTCAACCGAGCTCCTTCTGCACCTTTGAACTTTAAGACTCCAGAGGAAATGTGGTCAGGTACTCCTGCTAATTATTCTGATTTAAAGATATTTGGTTGCCCTGCATACATGCATGTAAATGATGGAAAATTAGAGCCAAGGGCTAAAAAGTGCATTTTCCTTGGGTATGCATCTGGGGTGAAAGGATACCGACTATGGTATCCTGATCCCACGGCACCAAAATTTATAATTAGCAGAGATGTAACCTTTGATGAATCCTCTATGTTACATTCTAGAAAAGAGTCTTCTAGTTCTTGTAATACAGATAAAGGAAAGAGTACACGGAACCAAGTGGAGATTGAGATTGGCATTCCTTCTGAGCCAAGCTCATTAACTTTGGAGCAAAATACAGTTGAAACTCCTGAAGTTGAGACAGAAGCTGAAATTCCTGAAGTTGAGACTCCTGAAGTTGAACCAGAAGAAGAGGAGTATTCTATAGCCAAACATAGACCAAGAAGAGAAGGTAAACAACCATTAAGGTTTGGAGATTATGTTGCATTTGCTTTTTCAGTTGCACAGAAAACTGAAGAAATTGGAGAACCATTAAAATATTTAGAAGCAATTTCTGGTGCCGACTCAGCCAAGTGGCTGATTGCAATGAATGAATAAATTGAGTCTCTCCACAAGAATGGTACTTGGTCTCTTGTGAAGCCGCCATCAGAAAAAAGAA